GTGAGTTTGTTAATCCGTCTGTCCTGAATAAAACAATAAAAAAACTCAATTTCTTCAGTGCATAACGTTTGGGAAAGATTAAGATCAACATTAACTGTTGATTTAACGTATTTTTTTAAATGTCAGTATTTCATTTCAACTTATCTTCCTACAGTCACGAAAGCTTTAAGTCAAAACTGTACGTACAAGCGCACAAAAAATATATACACACCCGTAAATATACATAACAAACATGTAAACAAACCTTTACGACACTGCCTAAAACATCAACAAAAACCCAAAGTGTGATTCATAACACAAATGACCACCTTATTTCAAAATAGCCGAGTACTTACGTGACAAATCGCAAGTGTGCGCCAATTAGGCATTAGCCGTAGAATGCACAAATGTGTTCGCATGTCACACGCGAACACATTTGTGATAGTTCGTGCTCTTCATCGTCGACAACGGAGCGCTCGAGTGGCCAATGTCCGTCGTGCGTGTGATTATCATCGCGCTCTGTGTAACTCACGTCCCAAAGACGTAAACACGAACATTATCCACTTAGGGACCGTCGAGTGTGGTGGGCGATGGGGGAGGGAGGATTTGGCCACAGGACCAGTCCAGGTTATATCAATCGCCACCAGATGTTAGCCGCTGCCAGGAATTGAACTTGGGTCGCCAGGTTCGTCGTTGCAGTGTGCCAACCAAAGCGCCACTGGCTCCAACCACACACCTCTGTACGGTTGCGAAAGAAGTTCAACACAAATTTCGATTTAAAGCTTTCGTGACTGCAAGGATTCACCTTCTTTGGTTCTTTCGAAAGAACCAAAGAAGTTCAACATACGCACATACGGTCAACGTTGCGGCAGTAGTCTGCAAGGCCCAATTGACGTGATGCTCTCTGCAACAGGACGGGCCATTAGTGCGTGCCCCCGAATTGATAATTCATTGCCAAGCATCGCTCCACTTAAGCTCGCAAGGCTAACTGGAGAACCCGAGGTCACTTCGTTTGGATGGAGAGTTGCTACATCCACACGAGGTTTAACGATTTAACGGTGACCTAAGGAGTGACTAACTCGCATGCCCTTAGCCTTGTAGTCACTTGCCTTGCCTCTTCCTGGGGGGGGGGGGGGGGGGGGGGGGTGCTGCCGAGGACACGGGGCTCACGTGGCACGGTTTTAGGCGACGAGCCTTCGGGCGATAAACATTTCTACATACGTGACTTTGCCGAAAAAAAAAAACAACGAGTAATTTTATGCAGTCACGAAAGCTTCAATACTTTATTACTCACCGCGGTGGCTGCTCAGCCAATTAATCCCCCCCACCCCGGCTCAAACAAACACAAGTATTAGGAGTACTCCACCTCCGATGGCAGGCATCATCAGCCAGCATTGGAAATTTCACGTTGCCGTTTCAGGAGCCGGCGGCGTATCAACAACACCTGTTGGATTATCACAAAGCAGTAGATTTTACCGACCTAGGTCTGATGAGGAGCTACGTTGAGCTCCGAACTGAATTTCAATAGGTCTCTGCGTCTCCGTGTGCTGTGAGGAGAGGCCAGTTGCCTCAAAGGTCACCCCTATTTTCCTTCATGGGGCAACGTTACTGACGAATGTGTTGAGTTTATTTTTCTCTCTCCCCCCCCGCGCGGTGGTGGTGGTGGTGGTGGCAGGGAGACAGCTGCCTGCCGAGTAGCAAATACAGTACACACACACAGTACACGCACAGTACACGCACAACGTTGTCCCACCGCATAGCTGCAGAGAGTGAATTGTGCGGAGAAATAGTTTAGCCCCATACACGCGAAATCACGCCAACCCTGCTCACAGATGGATCAATAAGCCGGATGAAGATCATCAAGATGCCTCTGGATATAACATAATAACAATGTCCGTCTATATGTTCAGGAAAAGCCTTATCGATTATCAAGACTATTTTACAGGAAGACTGTTTTGTGAGGTTGTGTTTTTAAAAAAAAATTCTTCACAATTGGATAATTCGGATAGGATGCGGAAGAAACTGGCAGACCCAGAGGAAAAACCCCATTACCACGCAATTATAAAACTAAAACGTCCAAAGCTAAACCTATTTTCTGCGCTGCCAACTTCATGATGCCTCGCACACCGAGTAGAGTTTATGCAGTCCCACCGCACAAAAGGGATGCCTGCGTGATCCATTAACTCCCAGTGGTTCCTAACCTGGGGTGCACGCTGCGAGATGCCCTTTCTGGGAGTGCGAGACACGTCCAGATCTCTTTTTTAAATAGAAAAATCATCAAAACACAAATTAAGCACAGGCGCGGAAGTACAACTACCTTTGATTAACCAAACCCCGTGTATTTATTAACATCATACACTTTCCAACGATGGAGAACCAAAGGGGTTGCAAGCAAGGCTGCGGTAAAGGTTAAGAACCGCGGCATTAACTCCTGTCTCTAGAGCTTGTGGTTTAGAGGCGTCCACATTGAATGTTTACCTTCAGGTACATGGGCCATCATTGCAGGGCAATTATGGTCTCACCTGGGCCACAACAGATTCGGAGTGGTGTCCGTAATTCCCCCACTCGTGGGTGAATCTGAAGACGGCCGCTTGCGTTGTGGCCGAAACGTCGTGAGAATTTCATTGTGTTGTTTTATTATTTTATTCTCATTCTACGTGGTGACTTTACCGAAAGAACCAAAGAATCTGCACCACTTTCACGAAACGACTCCAGGCTAATCCCCTTTCGAAAGAATTTTAAATGCCGACCGTTAAAACAGATCCAATGACTCCATAACGAAATGGCGCGACGTTCTCACGGTTTCGTCCACTTTTTCCCATTCGTTGTTAGATTTCTTTGCTGTTGCGCGATGTTCTAGAAGCTGATGATTTCCAACAAAGGCCTGCTGCGCCCTCAGCAAGAAATCACGAACAGAATTACTATTTACTTTCATCTACAATCTTGTTTTGCGTTAAATAAACTTCATAAACAACAAATTAATTACTTTAAAATCGGGCAATATGTAAACTAAAATGACCTATTAACATGTTTTAAAAATACCTGCACGTATAATCATATTTTCTGACGTCAAAATATACAATATATATTGACTCTTTAAAACACACAATAGATATTTAAAGCATTAAAATTTCACATTCAATTAGGGCCAAGGGAAGTCCACCGAGGAGATGGAGCAATGGCCATCGGCTCGTGGCCAGGTGCCGGGTGGATCATTACATTGCACGGACTGCGGGGGAGGCCTTCATCTAGCAGTGGATAGATCATGGCTGCTGCTGATGATGATGATTATTCAATTGTGGTAAGCCGACAACGGTTCTTCTGTTGAGAGCCTGGCCACAATCACGGGATTTTTTTTTCCCACCAGTGACTCAGGACCAACCAACACACGTATAAACCTGTTGGTATGTTTTTACGTCTGGGCTTTTGTATTGCGCTGAGAATGCGTGCTCTATGAAATTAACTTTCCCTTTATTGGTGAAATGTAAACAAAAGACAAAGATCCCCCGTATAGCCTCAACAGACTGTTTGGGCAAGTGCTGTTAGCGAGCACCTATGAAGGTTGGCACGGCACACAAGGGGGTGGATGGGCAACACCGCGCCCGGCCACCTTTGTCTCCCCAGTGGCGATGTTTACACACCGCACCAGGTACTCATTTGAGGCCGAGTCGACCGAGGGGAGGCCCAGGAGCGGTTCAGATAATCACTGGTGTTGGCCGTGAGCAGGAATCTAACTCGGGTCGCCGGGTTCGTAGCGCAGCGCGCTAACCGCTACACACTGCCGCTCCCCCACGTACACGGACACACACGGGCACAGCAGAATTCCTGGCCTTCTACATATCTGCAATGTCAATTTATCAGTGCACCACATGAACACCTGTTTTTTGCCAACAAGTGTTCTCTGCCAGTGTATTAACACCCAGCCAGGGTCTCTCAGAAAACACCCAAGGCAACCACCCACCAGAGTTGTTCACCTTGGCATTAAACAACTAACTGTTGTTGTTTCATCCCGTTGTAATTTTTCCTACAAAAGTTCATCCTGATTGTGCTATGGGCGACGTGTCACACAACGAAATATCCTTTCGGATACCCCCCATGTGCACAGCGGCGTAACCCTTTGCACTGGAGAACGGCCCGAGGAAGCGGAGATCACAGAGCCACCTCTGAGATTCCTTTAAAATGACCTCCAGTTTACACAGTACGGGGTCAGCACTTTCCCACTGGCTCTGCCATACGGGACAGTTATTGTTCGTCGCTGGAGAGTTGAACTGATATTTTAATTCTCAGAGTTAGAATTCGTCCCAGTTAGGTTGTAGCACCAAATTTAAAGTAAATTTTTGTTGTTGTTGTTGTGTGTGCAGCCATTGTCGACTGGACTGAGACTCTTGATATCCTTGCTTTAATCACAGGCAGCTGCGTGGATCAAACTACGAACCTAGTCTACACGATACCATCCATATTAGTCCTTTTAGGAAGAGATAGCATGCTGGTTTAATCTCAGTCGATTTAGTTTTTTCTTTCAACGAAGATACACGCGCCGTATTGGATTCAATGTAGGCAGTTTATTCCTACTGTGGCACATCGCACGTGTCCCTAAGTTACGAGACACAATCAAAAATGCCCCCATGCCATCTCTCTGCTCATCATCTATCGTCCTCCTGGCCCACATCCTTCTTTTTTGATAATCTCGAATACATTCTTTATTCCATTCTACCCCTGCCTCACCCATTCATTCTTCTGGGTGATTTTAATCAATCTCAGCACTCCCTCTGTTGCTTCCATTCGTCCTTCCCCTTGTCAATTCAATAAATTTCCACCTCCCATCTTCCCATACTCATTTGAGCAGGAATGCACTTTGACTTTTGATGATGATGATGATGACGACAGCTTGCACCTTGGCTCTGCAATGAGTGAAGGACTGATGCACATGAATTAGCACCGCATGAAGATATTTTTAATATTCGTTGGCGCATGAGACCGGGAGATTTAAATGCGTGCAGAAGCGAGGGGGTGGCACTCACATTTCATCCGTGTAGGCGAGCCCAAAGTACTCCTTCTCCTTCAGGCTTACATGGGATGCCACGAGATCCAACAGCTCCTTCCCCAGCAGCTTGGGCTGGAACACAAGGGTTGGCACCAGGGCAAACGTCACAATTCAGTCTTTTAATTCAGGGGTCCCCAACCACCGGGCCGCGGACCGGTACCGGTCTGTGGCCTGTTAGGAACCGGGCCGCACAGCAGCAGGAGGTGAGAGCGGTGAGTCCACACGTGGCCCGCCTCCATTGGTTTATTATTATTCACCACTTCCGTCCGAGCCTCTTTCCCGCACTGCGTAGCACTTGTCTCAGTCACGTGGTGTTGGTAAGCCCACAAGCTGACCCCTAGTAGCCAAAATGAGTAAGCCCACGAGCTCTAACCCCTAGTAGCCACAATGAGTAAGCCCACAAGCTCTAACCCCTAGTAGCCACAATGAGTAAGCCCACAAGCTCTAACCCCTAGTAGCCACAATGAGTAAGCCCACAAGCTAACCCCTAGTAGCCACAATGAGTAAGCCCACAAGCTCTAACCCCTAGTAGCCACAATGAGTAACAAACAAACGTCACTGGAGAGCTTCTTTGAAAAGGTGGAAAGACCCAATGATGAACCCCCTTTCTCCCCGGTCCGTGAAAGAATTGTCTTCCACGAAACCGGTCCCTGGTGCCAAAAAGGTTGGGGACCGCTGCTGTTTTAATGATTTCTGTGACATTCCAACTTTTTCGCCATCGGCATCGACACAAGGCGCTGCAACAGCTGCAATCGTCAGCGCAGCTGGACTTGCAATCCAGAGGTCGCCAGTTGGAAACGATTTCCCGGCGTGGCAGTTGAGCTCACACCATATGTAGGCAGCTTTTTAAATATTAGTCAGGGAGGGAAAGGGGTGGGGGGAGGTGGGAGGCAGCTCTTGGAACTTGCCATTGCCTCAACTTGGTATGGAAGCGTTTAAACGATTTAACTTGTCATCATCGCCATCATCAGCCACGTACAATCCACTGCTGCACGAAGGCTTCGTAGGGCGCTACGGGCGCGGAGTCGGAAAGGCCGTACACGTATTAAATTTTGATTTAAAGCTTTCGTAACTGCAGTAATTCATATTCTTAGCTCTTTCGGTAAAGTCACGTTGAAGGGAAACAATACAATAATAAAATATAAATAAATACAAACAACGTTTGAAAAGAAATAATACATGCTAACCGCCACTTCTTTCAAATGTTTCTTGCCGTTGGTTTTTCACACCTGATGATGGCCGTTTGTGTTATGGTCGAAACGCCGTGAGAATTTTATTGTTTTATATATATTTTATTATTTTATTGTTTCCCTTCAACGTAGCCGTACACGTATTCTTTTAACAACCGTTTAATGCCATCGTTGATGTCGCAGCCGCGGGGGATTGAATCTAATTGGCACCGTTGTGGCTAGCTTGCTTGGGGGAAGATCTGTTTGGCAAAATGTCAGCAGCATGGCTCTGTGCAACAGAAATTAAATGGCTGCCTCTAATGACGAAATTAAACCAATTACATTGCTCGTTGTAGAGGAGGAGGAGGAAATCGTGGAGCTGGGCTCGTACAAACAAAAAAACAAGAGACCACTTCAGTGATCACGTGTGAATTTGAAGGGGCAACAGGATACAATTCAGACAATGTTACGGAAGGTGAGATTTTCCGCCAAAATACAAAACCGCAAATTCATCCGTGATTAATTTGTAGACTCTCACATCCAAGGGGCTACGTGATTGGAACAATAATGTTTAGGTTTGCGAAGCATCGTTCATGCGTAGTGCATCTCACCATCTCTGAGGAACAGCAGACAGGCGCGAAAGTAGCAGGCAGGCAGGCAGGTGCGGAGCCAGCACTATCAATTTCACAAGCTCTGCAGTCCACTATGTATTAAGCTATTTACAGCCAATTCATCATAGTTTATACAAGTGTGAACAAATCGGAGAACCCGGAGGAAAGCCCAAGCGTGCGAAGGGGCAACACTGTATCCCATACAGAAGGGACAAAATAATGATAAGTTTGCAACTTTTCTGCATCGCCTTCCCCTGGCGAGCCACGGTATGTCACCTCAACGCCCACAGGGAGTTTGGCAACATCTGTGTGGTCCACCAACCCTTGCCTCCACAGCACTGGTTTACAGGCCACATGCATAGCCAACACTGCCCGGCTGTCATAATTTTATTATTATTATCATGTGCTACTTGCTACAGTATTAGAATTTACAACAGCATCCCTTAAAATCTTGACCTAAAGCTTTCGTGACTGCAGGAATTAATATTTTTTGGGTCTTTCGGTAAAGTCACGTAGATAGGTTCAAAGACGGTCGCTTGTGTTGCGATCAAAACGTCGTAGGTTTTTTGTTGTTATTTTATTTGAACCTATCTACGTGATTTTACCGAAAGATCCAAAGAATGTGAATTACGCATCCCTCAAACATTTCTACTCTTTGCAGGATATCATGGATTGTGATCATGAAATTATCACATCACTTATGAGACGCTTTTGTAGCCTGAGAAATATAATTAAACAATTTAGTGTGTTTTATGTTTGTTGCTAAACATCCCTGCTAAATAACCCTTTGCTTATGACAGAAGTGGCCCGTGTAAAAATATAAATGGATTGCATTTCAGATGAATTGGGTCAAAAGCTGCCTTCCACAATGTACACTTGTGTTGGAGTGCATTTTTGTAATTGCCATAATGACAAAAGAAAAGCTTAGTCATGCATTAAACCACAACACAATTATTCCACTTAACATCACTCAACATATGCTCCACTATATCCAAATGAATAATAACGATAATTTACAATCTTCTGTTTCATCCACAGTTTGACTATACTTCACCATGTTGGTCAATGCTGGTTGCTGAAAGAGATGGGGGGGGGGGGGGTGTTCAGTTAACACTGACCACCGATGTTAGTCGTGGCCAGGAATCAAACTCAGGTTGGCAGGTGCTTGGCGCAGTGCCCTCACCATGTGAACGCCCATTAGTCTCCAAAAGTTATTAAACGGCATCGGGGGTTATGAGCCAGGAGTTTCAATTTTACATTTCTTACTGCAGGAAGTACTCTCATCGAATCTATAGAGCGACCACCACCGTTTTTATGAACCAGGTAGGTGGGTGGGTCCCTTTTACCGCTGAATCTCGGAAACGCGCGAGCGACGAGTGTTAATTCTCGTGCAATCGGTTTGAAATTCTCCACGCGGGGCCAGCATTCTGCAGCCCTTCCAGACGGAAAGCGGCAACAGGTGCCTTCCTCGCCTTGTCAGGCTGCCGACGAGTGGCTTAGCCCCACACGCACGACTCTCCACAGCCTACAAAGGGGACGTGCCCACATCTGCCTCTGAACTCTGCACGCCCTCGATCCTCCAATGCTTCTCCTTCAGTCGTTTCGACGATCCTGTTACCATGGCAACCCCCTCCCCACCACCACCACCACCACCTACCCCGGTCCCCACTTCCAGACCAAGCAGCCTCTAAGGCTCCACGCGCCGAGGCTGCTGCTTGCTTGTGGCTCCCCCCTCCCCCTCCCCCCCATGGATACAAGCGGAGGACGAGACAAAGGAGAGATCGCGTCACGCGTTGAACGTTGCCCGTTTGTGAACCGATGGGAATTTCCACGATTTGGCTCCTGTCGATGGGGCAATGAGATGCTACATTACACAACGTGGAAGTGCCGTTCTGTTCAAACGAGCGTGGAATTGGTGGCCATCTCCGTCAGTGACCCAGAGCCAGTGGTGGAAATTCCACATCCCAACGGGGTGGGAGGAGGAGGAGGAGGTGGGACACATGTCTCCATTGAGCATGCGCACTTCGTGGCGCTACAAAAAACATTGTTTTCCTCTTTTTAATAAACCCAGCAGGAATGATGAGCCGAGCTGCCCAACTCACAAACCTTCCGATTGATTGTGAGCCGTGAGCAATAACCACAGCGCCACCCCGGCTGGACATAACATTGTGTCCCATCTCTCGCTCCTTCTCCATGTGCCGTGTCATTTCTCAAATACACGGGCGATCGTCGCCTTCCTTCCAGTTAGCTCTGTCCATGAGTGAGCCAGATAGTGTATGCATGTGAGTGGGTTTTTTTGGTTAGGTAAAGGGCATTGATTGGGTTATGATACAAAGACAAAGATCCCCCGTATAGCCTTAACAATCTGTCCGTAGAAGTTCCGTTACCGAGCACCTATGGAACGCGAGAGGGTGGGTGGCCAGCACCACGTGCCACCACCTTTATCTCCCTAGCGGCGATGCTTACCACACCAAGTACTGAGGCCCAGGACCGGTTCAGATAATCGTCACTGGTGTTGGCCAGTGACGATTATCGCCGGGTTCGTAGCGCAGCGTGCTAACCACTGCCATTCCCCACAGTCATGGACTTACTTGTAGCTCTGTCCATGACTGAGCCCGATTCTGTATCCACCCGAGCGTGTATTTTCAAGCGCTCGCCTGGTTTAGTAAAGGGCATTGATTTGGCGATGCCACAACAACAACAACAACAACCGCCATTCGCCACTAAGTGGCGGTGACGTCACCACGACGCTTGTGCCAGGCTATGTGCACCCTGAGGCCACGTGAAGTGTCGAACGCCCGCTGGCAGGAGGTCACGGGGCAGACCCAGGTGCCACGGGTCGACTGACTGAGATGACTGGCTGATGCACCACCTGTGCCCCCTACTGTGCCAACCTGCTGTGCTTTAGCCACCCGGCGCTCCGCTCGCTGTTGTGAGCGTCGCTCCTCCGCCCTCCGTTGTTGTTGGAGGGCGACTGCCTCCAACTGCCCAGTAGCATCCTTCACGAGCCTCCTCCACAGAGGCCGATCTTGACACCGCTGGTACCAGTCATCGGCAAGTCCACTCAGCTCCACGTCCTCCTGTACCACATCACTCCATCTCTTCTCTAGCCCGTGCCGCGCCCGCTTAGCCCCCTCAATCCGGCCAAACAAAAGCTGTTTCGGCATGCGGTGGCTGGGCATGCGGGCTACATGACCCAGCCATCGCAGCCTTGCCTGCCGGAGGAGCTCACCGATGGGACCCTGCCCAGATCTTTCAAGGATTTGTGAGCTCCTCACACAATCCAGTCTGG